ACTACCGGATTTGTCAGGACGTTAAAATTGTTCTCGTAATTCAAGCTTTGATTCCAATCTGTATCCATAATACTCTATGTTTGTACTAATGTCATTTCAAAATTTCAAATTCACTTGTTGCAAAACTCGTCCTCTGTACTTGATAATGAATGAAGTTGCATTCGAAACGTCGTAAAATTAAAATTATAATAAAATGTCCCTTGGAAACCTGATATTTGACTTTTCAGTTCCTATCAAGAGCTTAATTCGCCGAATAGAGAAAAACAATAAGAAAATTGTCAATAAGAAATACTCTCTGGTCTTCAATGAAACCTGCATCAAAAAAATATGAGACGCTTTCAATAAAGTGACGCACTCTTTGCCCAAGTGTGGGTCATCTTGGCCCAATTTGGTCCGACAAAAGTTCTTATATCAGTGCTGTTATCAGTGCTACGTCCGCTCAATGCTCGTTCTGCGGGTATAAAACTATTTCACTTTCCGCACAAAATAAACCATTCTTTTTCTGGGCGACGACAGGGTTCACTATATTTATTGCGTTTACTTTTCAAGCATTAGGCTTACTTCCAAACTGACGTAATTGAAGGAGTAGATTATTGATATCAGCGTAGAAATTGACTAACTACTTTTGTGGACTTATTAGTATTTGAAAAAATATTATACCAACCCGCACGAATGTATAACTTCAAAATATATTTCCTATTTTATATGTTTCCAAAGTAATAGATAGAAAAAAGGAAGCCCTTTAAATGACAACCTGTGAACTTGCGAAACATTTCACACTAATTGGCAATTTATTAATAGACATCCAATTATATCCTAATTGGCAATCTGGTTTTCTGACTCGCCGAGTTGCTATTCCAAACCAAAGAATAAATTTCGAGCTCGGTATTACAGCTCCGTTGACAGCCATTAAAATCAAGAGGCTGCAACGGAATTCTAAATCCCTCAAAAAATGGCTTAATCCTCACCACAAACTTTATCCTGCAAAGCCGCTGCTCCAATCCATGGTTTTAATAAGAACTACATAGCTAAAAGTATTGCTTCAACAAGATTTTATATATGATACTATATTATTTAATGTGTTTATTCATGGAGAAGTTTATTTATTTAACTGTAGTGCAGACATGGAGGGATCTGCTGTGCTTGATTGGAATCTAAAATGTTCCGTGGTAAATGGAATATTTGGAATGTTATTTGAAGTTTATTTTGTATAAAGAATATTTCGGTATATTTCGGCAGCGCTCATTCAAATTTAGAGATATCAGGTACTGACTGAAAATTAACTTTTGATGTATTGGAAAAATGATGGTGTAAATGATAACAGCCTTGGGATAACGCGAAAATTTTGGTGAATGATGAAAAGATATATGCTACATTATGTATAGTTAATGATGATATTGTTTTTCTAATGAATGACTCAGCCATGCCAAATTAAAACATCACTATTACCCAGATGTGTTTCTTAACATAAAAATCTTATTTTTTCACTATCATCATAATTCTTCGGCTTAATTATCTCTATAAAACCACGATTTCCTCCCCATCCCTATCTTGTTGTCTCAATATCATCACAACCCGGAGAATTCATCATCATCTAGATTATGAGACCTCATTTTCATCACAAATATGCCACCTCACTATCTATCGTCAAGATCCGAGGGCGAATGAACTATTGCAAGTTCATCAATCTATTTACATTGAACATTGTTGATAAGTGTCAAGGCAATTTTGCGCTATTTCCTAATGAAAACCTATTATATACATCAATGTTTTTTTAGTCTTTTCTATTCAATAGCGTTTAGTGGTTTTTCCGACGGTCAAACGTCTTCAATTGTGGGCGTCTTGAGGTTGCTGGGCGTCTGGGGTTGCTCTGGGGTTCAATTGTGGGCGTCTGGGGTTGCTCTGCAACCCTCGACCGCAACTTAACCTCCAGAGCAACAAACGAGGTCGGCGTGAGGGCAATTTCGCTAAGCAATCTTGAGGGCAACACTCACGTCAAGTATTTTCTTAGGCAATCCAAGCAAGGGAAGTGAAAGCCCAAAATTTCGAGCTTGATTTTGAGATGAAATTTTCTCGTCTATTTTTCATGGACATTTTTTCCGATTTGCTGGTAAATCCAAACAAGGGAAATTAAATCTCAGAATCAGAAGCTAGTTTTTGAGGTGACTTTTTTATTTTTCTACGAATAATATAAAATTTCTTTCGGTGGGTTTACATATAGTTAAAAGACGTGAGAGCTCGTTTTATTTTCTAAATTTGTAGCTAATGAAAGAACTACCTTTGAACAACGGGCAATTTTATATAGCAATTATAAAGCGCAACAACTTTTTTGTAACCGTTTTTCGCTGTTCGCGCAGAACTACTATTAACTAGCGCCGGTTTTTCGGCTTTCCAGGAAAGTTTTAGTTGCACTAAAACTTTTGCACTTTCCAGGAAAGTTTTTCACTCCTATAATTATTTTTCTGTTGAGTTTATACTTCGTGAGACTGCGCACTCTGCGCATCAGATATTCGATATTTTTTCACTCGTTAGTTTAATAACTAGATTTTTCATTTACTCCATTTATATGCAGGACATTCTTTTTCCTTGTGAAATCTCTTTTCGCGATTTTGAAGCGAGCACTGAAAACCCACGACGGGAATATTCAGAAATTATTTATGGAAGACTCGTGTAGTTTGACCGCTAGCTTGTATGAGCGTACGATTGAGAACAGAACATATTGGATTGAACATATCCATACACCTCATGGATTTCGAACAGAATATATTCACATACACCATACAATAGGTATGAATGAAATCAATGCTACCTTTTTCTCAATTATTTTGTCTACTGAATTGTTAACTCGAACTATGTATGCATTTGTAACATTAACACATTAATTATAACTGTTGACATGATTTTCAGCGCATAGATTGGCCCTCAATTGATAATTCAAATAGAGATGTTGATTAATGGCCACCCTCTAGGAAATCAGCCCTTGATTCTGCTGATTTTATTGTATTTATGATAAAGCTAGTGAATATAATTAGTAACTTGCAGAATACAAATATAACAATTAATATAATTAGGAACTTGCAGAATACAAATATAACAATTAATATAATTAGTAACTTGCAGAATACAAATATAACAATTAATATAATTAGGAACTTGCATAATGCAAATATAACAATTAATATGATAAGGAACTTGCAGAGCTCCATGAACATTGCAGTAAAGTTATGTAGGAGAGGCAAGGCCGTTCAGAGAACAGAAATTAAAACAAAACTGTCTCGTTTTAATTTAGTAACTAAAATTATGTAAAAATAATGATACTTTAAAAAATTATGTCAGTTATGACATTATAATTTTTTTATGAATTAAAATAGTTGATAATTATAATTTATTTATTAAATTAGGTAGGCTAATAAATTATGTTACTTGATAAATTACAATTAGTTTAATAAACTATAATTAGTTTTGGAAATTATGTTAGTTAATACATTATAATTATTTTAGTAAATCAGGTTTGTTATTTAATTATAATCAATTTAATAAAATATGTTAATTAGTTTAACAGAATAATGAATTAAAAAATATTCTTGTATAATTAAAAACATCTAATATTCATGTGCGTCAGGGGCGAAAATATAGTCAAATTCGAATTTAGGTCAGCATCAAAAATCTAAGTAATCAACAAAAAACATTGGTCAGCATCAATAAATTGTGCTCAGCATCAATAAATTGTGCTCAGCATCAATAAATTGTGCTCAGCATCAATAAATTGTGCTCAGCATCAATAAATTGTGCTCAGCATCAATTTATTGTGTTCAGCATCAATAAATTGTGCTCAGCATCAATAAATTGTGTTCAGCATCAATGCACTTTTGTAAGCATCAATATATTTTCTCCAGCATCAAAATGTCAACTTTTGATGTTCATGTTCCTACATCTGAGCGAAATTTCCAAGCTAACTTTATGGTCCTAAGTTTTTCGGAAAAATTGCGAAGATTATCGGAAATTTCTAAAAAATGTTCCTCTGTATCCAAGAGACCATCATTCCCAGGAGTTTTTGCGGCCTGCTTGGCATTCCTGAAGCGTTCCAAGCGTTCCAAGCGTTGCCGAGATTCCCATTCTCTAGCGTATAGGCCTGGCAGAAGAGGCCTGCGTAGAGCGCTGGCAAACAAGGAGTCCTGTTCAAAAATGACAATACAATTACCAGAAGTTTGTCCGGCCTTGGCATTCCAGAGCGCGGTGGCTGGTCCCGACACTGCAGTTCCCGATGCACTTCGTCGGGAATCGGGAATTGTCTGCACAGACGGAAACTAAAATGGTCAACCCTGTCCATTGTCAGGGACTGACGTGGTCTGCTTCTGCACTTCACTAGTGGAGTGGTCTAATCCTGCACAACTCTAGGAGCCGGAGTGGTCTAATCCTGATCTCCACTAGGATCTGGCCGTGGCTGATCCTGGTCTCCACTAGGATCCAGTGTGGTCTAATCCTGCACAATTCTAGGATGCGGGGTGGCCTGATCCTGCACTCCGATGTTAGCTCCGTCAGGATCGAGAATGTTCGGTCAATTAACTACCAGGATCGGGAATGTTCAGTCAATTAGCTCTACCAGGATCGGGAATGTTCAGTCAATTAACTACCAGGATCGGGAATGTTCAGTCAATTAACTCTGCCAGGATCGGGAATGTTCAGTCAATTAACTCTACCAGGATCGGGAATGTTCTGTCAATTAACTCTACCAGAATCGGGAATGTTCTGTCAATTAACTCTACCAGGATCGGGAATGTTCTGTCAATTAACTCTTTAAGGATCGGGAATGCCTTGCAATGGCAGAGATAAGAATTAGCCTACTATCACAATGTACTTTAATGAAAAATAACTTTTATATAATTTCTACTTCAGGTGAGGACATTATCTCAATGGAAATCCAAGCTAGCGTGCGTTACAAAACCAGTGTTTGCTATGGATATGACAACTGTGTTGCAGATATTTTGCAAATCGTTACTCTTAATTTAAAAAACGGTGCAGTGCAAGACGATAAAAGAGATTGATTGTCTCAAAGTTTGAGTGTTTGAATTGATCTATTGAAGCCAATTATCGCCTAGTGGGAATGTCGGTAATGTCACTCCCCTAGTTCACCTTCAAAATATTGATTTTATTCCTTACCGATCGAAGGAAAGTCAAAAATTGACATTTGTTTACCACAACGGTAAGCAAAACTTCTGTTGTATTTTTTCACTGAAGGGGAGTGAAATGTGAGGGACAAGCTACCCTCGGTCGAGGGCCAACGACGGCAATTAATACCAGCCATGCTCCCCTCGCCTCGCTCTCCAGAACATATCGTGGACTTCACTTGCGTATTTATTGAAAAAGTGATGGATTTCATGCATGGAAAATACAAAACCGAATCGGAGCACTTCTAAGCTGGCAAAACTCCACTAAATAAATTCGAAGGCACTAAAATTTCAATAAATTTGCCTCTTTGGGTACTGGTCTCATGAGGGAAAAGTTTCAGCAAATAATCAGTTTTCGCGTACTTGAACAATTTGAATGAGTCAGTATTTAGCAAAAATGCATTGTGAAGTGCCGGCTGAAACTATTATCCCGTAAATACAATCGAATAATATAGAAAATACAATCTTATAAATCATTTTATTTCTGAACCCCACTGAACCTCCAGCAGAAGGTTTACGTGGGCGTAAGACTGAAACTTTTATCCCGCAAATACAATGGAAAAACGATTGTATTCACGGGATAAAAGTGTATTTGTGTAAAAAATTTGTGTAATTGTATTTACAATTACAATTTGTGTATTGTAAATACACAAATTACAAATTATAAATGTATTACAAAAATTGTATTTGTGTAATACAATTTGTGTAAAAAAATTTTATTTACTTTATCCCGTAAATACAATCGAAAACATGTGTAAAAAATAGTTAGATATTTTTGTAGCCTCGTAAGCAGCAATACGTAGCGTGCTGCTGGACTGAAGGCAGTAAGCGTCTATAATTCTCATGCAGCATTTAGCCTTCGAAAAGGTCCTTGAAAGCCTATATGTGCCTTCTTTGCTGTTTTATTCTTTTTAGCGCATTTTCTCATTTATGGAAAAAATGCAATGTTGTGCTCGCAATGTCCGTCTGTCTGTTTGTCTGTCCGTCCGTCTGTGACCTCAAGTTTTCGTCGACGAGAAAATGCGCTCTCTGTCACTCTTTACAGTGAGTACTGAGTTATATTTTTTACTCTTTTCACCCTGCACTGTATTCTGCTGTTACCCTGCACCGTAACAATTATTGTTTTATGTAGCCAGGCAATGTCTTGAGGTTGGGGAGTTTGCTTCTGGTTGGTGTCATTGGTTAGTTGACGTCTCTTTTTTAAATTGACCCGAATAATAACTTATGACAGGTATAGCTGGGTTGTTTCTTAAATCTTAACCCATTCTATTGGGATAATATTTTTTGAAATAATGCTAAACTTCTTCCATCGACAGGCCTTAATTTCTTTTTAATGGGACGGAACTCATTTGAATAGGGTTTTATCTCACGATTGCATAGGATTTAGCATATTTACAAAAATGGTTGAAATTCTCGGCTTGAAATTCTCTCTTGAACCTTTTTGGTATAGATGGATTGAAGAGAACCGAACAATCTAAACAACACAAGGTTTCTTTTTTTTTGGAAGCGATATGACCGTTTCTGTAGAATAAGGTTAGGCTCTTTGCCCTCAAGCCGAACTCTTTCATCGCGGCCTCCAGATTTAGGGCATTCATCTTCATCGTGGGCATCTCAAGTTTTTTTCTTATGTAGGCGTCTGTCGAAAGGCCGCTTAAAATAGACCGAGCTCAGAGGCCTCTGTGGGCTTTTTCTATTAATTCCTTCTGAAGGAAAACCTGAAAGGATTCTATAGCGCTTGACCGAAGTCTCTTCAGCTCACAGCTCTAGCTTTTTGCAGTCAATTGTGGAAAGTGTGTGAACTTTTTTAAATAATGCGGTTCATTTAAATAGTTTAGTCTTTCGATAAATTTGAATAAGCGAGTGTAAATGATAATAATAATATAATACTCAATGATTTTTACGTTCAAAGTGAGAATAAATAAAGTCATGCATTGCGAATTCTAAATAATAAAAACATCGAAATTTTCGTCTCAATAGCAGGCAGGTTCATATGAAACCTTAATTCCAGAATTGTGTGCGCATTTTACGCTTTTGAGTTACATTTTCGGAAAACAATTTCGAGAATTCGGAAAATTTCAGTGGCAATAAAAACATTATTGGGGACATTATTGTATTTTCATTTATATTTTTAGTGCCCGGAGACGGCGAGTATTTGAGTCCTCAATAGTTGTACAGGAGTCCTTCCCATCTAGAAGGAAAACTTGGCTCAGGCGTTTAGATCCTAGGTCATTGGATGCTAGGACATTGGATGCTAGGCCATCGGACGCTAAGTCATTGGATGCAAAGGTATTGGATGCAAGGACATTGCTGACCCTGACAATGAAAAATAGGATGACTCAAAAAACTTGGCAGGACATCGAGACTCCTCTTGACCGGAGCCATTACGGCGGCGGGACCTGAAGGACGCTTGAGAAGCCTTCAACGGGGCAGGTTTTTCTGAAGAAATATCTTCTCGTGGGTCTGGAGAGCACGCTTGCTATATTGGCCATTTAGACGACTCATGACCATCTGGCAAAAAATTCGGGACAAAATTATTAACGTCGAATTATATTTCCAGAAAAAGAAGAGACATGTTTCAAGTATTAAATTTTAAACACGCTTTGGACGACAAAGCATGTACATAGAATACTACAGTTAATTAAGAAATTTGAAGTCTCGGGCTATTGGCACATTCGTGCGAACACTCGTTTTAGTTGCAATGTCCCGAAAACCATTCCCCCAATCAATCCTCCCCAGGTGGAATTGGGTGCGCAACTGGGGTTTGTGGAAACACTACGCGAATTTCTTCCCCATCCGCCTGGTGAAGACCACCGAACTGGACCCCGACCACAACTACATCATGTGCTACCATCCCCACGGCATCCTCAGCGCCGGGGCCTTCTGCACCTTCGCCACCGACGGCGTCTCCTGGTCCAAGGTGAGGCAACCTCGTGCTGATGAGTGGTACCTTCCTTACTATAGTGATCCTGGTGGTGCGGATTGATGGTACCATCATAGCTAGTGGTATCTGTGATCCAGGTGTATGATTCCATCATGACTATAGTGGAACCTTAGGGACGGACGGGCGGTACCATTATGAGTATTACTACCTTTTGGAACGACGAGTGGTATCATAATAACTAGTGGTACCTTTAGGACGGACGAGATGAACTATCTTGACTATTGGTACCATTGAGATGGACGCATGGTGCTATCATGATTGGTGGTACGGTTCTCACGGTCTTTTGATAACTCCATGACTCGAAATGCTTCTGTCACGGAGGTTGTACTCTCGCGGCTGAAGTTACACATAGGACGAGCGTCTATTACCTTCGTGACTGGGATAACTTTTACGACGGTCAGTTAGTACCTCTTTTACTAAATATACTGTAGTGACGAAGTTATAACTGCGACTAAGACATCTTTGTACTGGTGGTACATCATTAGTAGCATATCCACTCGTTAGTATTTTTTGTCAAAACAAGATAGTAGCATCATCAGAACCATCGACCATCACCCTCAGAACCATTGAGCATCACCCTCAGAACCAGCGAGCATCACCCTCAGAACCTGCAATCATCACACTCAGAACCATCGAGCATCACCTTCAGAACCAGCGATCATCACCCTCAGAACCATCGAGCATCACCCTCAGAACCAGCGGGCATCACCCTCAGAACCTGCAATCATCACCCTCAGAACCATCGAGCATCACCCTCAGAACCATCGAGCATCACCCTCAGAACCAGCAATCATCACCCTCAGAACCAGCGAGCATCACCCTCAGAACCAGCGATCATCACCCTCAGAACCAGCGGGCATCACCCTCAGAACCAGCGGGCATCACCCTCAGAACCTGCAATCATCACCTCTCTTATACACATCTAGATGTGTATAAGAGACAGCCTCAGAACCAGCGAGCATCACCCTCAGAACCAGCGATCATCACCCTCAGAACCAACGAGCATCACCCTCAAAACCATTTATCTAGTTTTTCATTGAACACAATGAACACAACAGCATTCATTTGATATTGAACTGTTGTTTTGAATGTGAATGCATTTCATACGTGCCACCTATTTATATATGTACTCCTTATGAGGCATGGGAATTTTTTCTTGACTTATTCTATCAATTCATGCTCATTTGCCCGTAAATGAAATATATTTCTTTAAAAAATTATTTTAATTGAAACATTTACCAAACCGTAATTGTAACATTGTATTATAATCCATGATTAATTTTGATTAATTTTTCCCGTCAGCTCTCAATTAAATATTTATTACGAAAGCCTATAGCTCAGCGGTCAGCTTTAAAAAGTTTGGCGTCGTGTACAACTTAATTTAATTCAAGGATAGAGCAGAAGTTTAATTACGAGAAAACTTATATAAGTCAAGAACATTTCGTCAAAAATTGATTAGATTAATTATTTGACAATTTGAATGAGGTTCCTAACATTATCAATGGTTCGAAGAGGCTGTAACAAGAAGCGCCTCAGAATTAATATTGTTATCATACAATTTAATAAGAATATTAGTGTTAATTAAATATCTATCAGATCAATAATAATGAACAATATTTCGTTACCTCCATTTTCACTTTAATTACTGAATTTATAATACACTATACAAGATAAATTTACTAAATTTTTATGAAATATGAATGTGTTAAGATAATGCAATAGTCAGGGTACCATAAAAGACATGAATGAGAACGTAAAAAGATCACTTGCGGTAATCACATAAGTTTATCATAATAGATCATTCTCCAAATTCAAATTCTGCATATTTACTAAGTCAGAAAGAAATTTCAAATTTAACCTATCAAAAACCTCAAAAAACCCTGAATTTTTCCATGCGATAGGGTCCATCCCTGTGTTTAAACCTTTCAACAGTCGCTCTGAGTTTGGCGACGTCAAACGGCCGTCTATTTGCCCAGCCATGCTGCGTAGCGAGGCGTGCGGCGGCCGTAGAGTTTCTCGGATGTTGGGAATCACTATTTAACTTGAGTAGACTACACTCGTACATTGTCTTTGTAACTTTTCATTTAATATTAAAAGGGGTATTTAAAATGTCAAAATTCTCATAATTCATGTCTCGTGAAATTTAATTTTCGTCGTTTTATTTACGTAGTAGTGCCTGAAAAAAATTTTGCAGCTTCTACTTGAATTTATACAATGAACTATAATTTCAGTGCTTGAATTTTAGCATTCAATATGCAAGAAATCAAAATTATATTTTTTTCTCTTACTGTCGGTGTTCGAAAGATCGTTTTCAAATGAAATTCCACCTACTGAATTGGAATCAAATAGTTTTGGTGCAATCTATTAATTTCCGAGAATTGCATGGAGCAAGAGAAATCTAATCTTGCCCTTTGAAATCTAACGATACTCAGAGGGCAAGAGTTGGATCGGGATTCCATCGCTAGTCATGCAGCAAGAGTTAGGGAAGCAAGAGTTAGGAAAGCAAGAGTTAGGGAAGCAGGAGTTAGGGAAGCAAGAGTTAGGGAAGCAAGAGTTAGGGAAGCAAGAGTTAGGGAAGCAAGAGTTAGGGAAGCAAGAGTTAGGGAAGCAAGAGTTAGGGTTGTAGAAGCGCTTCTCATCGGGTATGCCACCACAAGTATATACAAGCCACGATTCTCCTTAAAGCCGTGCGGTTTTAGTTAAAAAATGCAAGCATCTTCAAATAAGCCCATACCAATTTATTTTTCTCTTTTGCCTCTAAAACTGGCGTCACATCGTCTGACCTGGCCACCCACCATATATACAATGATGATTATAATAGTGTAAAATTAAACCACAATTGTTCTATTCAGTCATTGCGAACACTAGTTATCGTGGAATCAACCCTCGTGTAAAACACACTAACCATTAGCATGGCAGTCACGAAGTGGGCTCTCAAGAGTGGGCACTCGAGTGAGTCGTACAAAAAGTGCCCCAGAAAATGTTATTAAGAAGCAGATCGTAGAAGACTAGGAAGAAGTGATCATACACGCGACAGTTCTCTAGCCATGATGCTGTGCAGACGACAGTCTGGGTTTGAAATGCCGTGGCGTGTGGCTATGTGAGCGCCATGCCGTGGCGTGTGGCTATATGAGCGCCATGCCGTGGTGTGTGGCTATGTGAGCACCACGCCGTGGCGTGTGGCTATATGAGCACCACGCCGTGGCGTGTGGCTATGTGAGCGCCATGCCGTGGTGTGTGGCTATATATGAGCGCCATGCCGTGGCATGTGTCTATATGAGCGTCATGCCGTGGCGTGTGGCTATATGAGCACCACGCCGTGGCGTGTGGCTATATGAGCACCATGCCGTGGCGTGTGGCTATATGAGCGCCATGCCGTGGCGTGTGGCTATATGAGCGCCATGCCGTGGCGTGTTGCTATATGAGCGCCATGCCGACCATGCCGTGGCGTGTGGCTATATGAGCGCCATGCTAACCTCGTATACTGGCATGTTGTATACATCTTGATAATTAGTGTGCCATGTGACAGTTCTGGGTTCACGTGACCGCATTGAGTATCATTTACTGCAGAGTCGTGTTCTGAATATACATTTAATGTGAACGTTTACATTACGTAGAAGTGTCATGCATACGCCAGCACTATATAAAAATGTCATCTGAACGTTAGCATAAAGTATAAGTGTCATGTGAACAATTATTATCAAGGCATTACTAATAAGTGTCATGTGAACGTTAGAAATAGGTAGAAGTGTCATGAGAACGTTAAAATTAAACATTTTTATGTATTAAGTATTTTTTTGAATAAAATAATATAACTGTAATTTGAAGGCATGTCATCAGTGGCCTAGTAAATATTTGTAGGTGGCCATCAGAAATGCGCTACGATTTGCAAGTGAAGAAGAAAACGAAATTCGATGTTGCCGCCAGCCTCTGGAAGAGTCCAATATGGCGGCGCCGAGTCAGCGATTTCTGCATCAGAATCGAATGGCCTCAAGCTAACTTACATCTAATTCCATTTGAGATTTTCAGTTGTTATCACAATCTCGCATGTTATAAGAAGTAATAATTGTGAGTTAGATTGCATAAAGATTTTGGACGTGATTTGTGCTTATAATCGTTCTCCTGGATTTCAGAAAATGAAAAGAAACGCAATTTCAGGTTTTGATCGGAATTTTTGACATTCCTGCTGACCACGTAGTATTTTAACTGTGATTTTTATTATTATATTAAGAGTTAGTTCCTAGTATTAACGTTTATCGCCCTGCTCGTGCACCCATTTATTTAACCAGCTCATTTTTCTCACCTACTTTTACAATTAATTTCCCCACTCCCCTCACTTTTCACTGACCCTCGCGCCCCTCGGTGGAGATCGTATCGTCGAGGGCACGAAAATAAGAGCTCCTTAGAGCAAATCGGGGGGAAGTTATCGCAAATTAATATTATTTTGGTGGCTGCCGTGAGGGCCTTTCAAGGCGCTTCATTAAGCATCCGCTTCAGGGATGCTTTCCGCACTTTTTTCTGAATTAATTTTTTTTTCTAGTAATATGTTGTTAGATTTCTATTTAATATTAATTGTTGTGTCCATGGGAAATTTGATTGAATGAGGAACCTTAAATTTGAAGATTGAAGTTATAGAGGAAATAGTTTTAATTTTTGTAATTATAATTTTTAAGTTGCAATATAGGGCAACGTGGGGCAGCGCGCCCCCACTTTTTTTAAACTAAATTTTTGATGAAGTTTTAATTGATACGAGGTGGTTCTTTGTTTTGTTTAAAGGTGCAACTAATGAGGAATGTATGATGTGAATTAGACGCCTATAGAGTTATTCAATTTTTAATGAAACACTATTTTGTAAAACGGTAGAGAACACGGACCAATATCTGCCATACTTAGCGAGAAACCCGCTATGGGCCCGTGACCCGCAGTGGGCTCGCTGCCCCATGTTACCCTATTTGGTTTAGGATTTTGATTTAGCATTCGCAGTGTTCATCACCTTCATTATACATTATATTCGACCTCCAGCATTATACATATTTATTATTGTATCTCGCGATCTTGCCTTGGAGGAAGTTCTCGATTTTTGCACTTGTGGATTAAATTGGAAATGGATTGAAACGCACGGTTAGGGCCAAGGATTAGGTTATTAGGGAGTTAGGTTTGTTGTTATGCGTTTCTATTGATTTTTTCGATTAACTATGCTTACTTTCAATTATTTATTTATTGAAAATCTTTAGTTTAGTAAATTGTTGGTTTATTGGATCATTTGGTGAGGAACGATGACGTGCTATGTGTCGGGGAACGCTTGTTCGTTAAGAGATTGGAAGCTCCCAATAAAGTAAACGTGATCATATTGCTCTGAGTAATCTAAATTATATCATGATTCCTAAAAATATTACTTTAGTTACCAGTGTTTTCAACCACCATGAGAAACTACAACCAATATTGTTTAAGATCAGACAATAAATGAAAATAAATAATAATTTGCGTGTTTTGTGAGTAACTAGCGACTGAATTAAAGGACAAAATGAGGGCAATTAAGGGGTATATTCTAACAACTTCTAAATTGTCAACCGACGCCATGTTTATAGATCACTTTGAGCTAATGTTAGCTTTGAATGATAACATTGTGAATACGTGTGGATGATATCATTGTGAATACGTGTGGATGATATCATTGTGAATACGTGTGGATGACATCATTGTGAATACGTGTGGATAGTCATTGTGAATACATGTGGATGATGTCATTGTGAATACATGTGGATGATATCATTGTGAATACGTGTGGATGATATCATTGTGAATACGTGTGGATGATGTCATTGTGAATACGTGTGGATGATGTCATTGTGAAATACCCTATGGATGATACCGACATCATTGTTTCAGACATTCCCCGGCTTGACCCCATACCTCCTCACCCTCGAGGTTCTCTTCCTCATGCCGTTCTACCGCGAGTTCTTCTTGTGTTCCGGTGAGTTCTGAGTGAGTTATTCCTTTGTTCCGGTGAGTTCTGAGTGAGTTATTCCTTTGGACAGGTGAGTTCTGAGTGAGTTATTCCTTTTTTCCGGTGAGTTCTGAGTGAGTTATTCCTTTGGACAGGTGAGTTCTGAGTGAGTTATTCCTTTTTTCAAGGGAGTTCTGAGTGAGTTATTCCTTTGTTCTGGGGAGTTCTGAGTGAGTTATTCCTTTGTTCTGGGGAGTTCTGAGTGAGTTATTCCTTGGTTCAGGTGAGTTCTGAGTGAGTTATTACTTTGTTCCGATGAGTTCTGAGTGAGTTATTCCTTTGTTCCGGTGAATTCTGAGTGAGTTATTCCTTTGTTCCGATGAGTTCTGAGTGAGTTATTCCTTTGTTCAGGGGTGTTCTGCATGTTAATTTAACTTAGTTCTGCTGCATTATGGGAAGTATAATACTCCAACACGAAGGAATTCTCCGTATTGCTATATATTTCGGAGTTCTATCTATTAGCTACAGCAAGTTCTGATCACTTATACGCAGCGATGAGTTCTACAAGTTTAACCATCATAGTTAAGTTCGCATTTTTTTATCTCGATCAGTTCTACCAATTAATCACCATCAAGCTCCAACAAATTGGACATAATGATGAGCCTCTCATGATAATGCATAATATATAATCTGTAAGATAATTTTATGCACGTTTTACACGGATCATTATATTCCGGTAAGCTCCACCCACCGAAAAATTCAAATTCTAATAAGCTAATAATAATTAGCTAATAATAATAATAAATAATAATTCTAATAAGCTAATAATAATAACACTCGCTAATATAACCTGAATCATAATTAAATATCCTGATGATGGGGCGCCATATTCACGAGTTTACCCTCGAACCGCCGCTGCAGGCGCCGTGAGTGCGACGAGGGCCAGCATGGACCACCTGCTGGGGCGCGAGGGGAGCGGTCGTGCCCTCTGTCTGGTGGTGGGGGGCGCTCCTGAGAGCCTGGACTGTCACCCCGGCCAGGTCCTCCTGCATCTGGAGAAGAGGAAGGGCTTTGCTAAGATGGCCCTCCGACATGGGTGAGGGGTGGGAGGAGTGGGAGGGGGGGGGGAGGTGATTGGTAAACGGAATGAGGGTAAGGGGAGTGATTGGTGAGAGCAGTGAGGGAGAAGGGAGCGGAGGTTAAAGGGAGTGAGCTCTCAACCTCGCTTGAGGTTGAGAGAATGAGAAGTGAGGGGAGTGAGGGGTGAGTGAGTGAAGGATAAAGGAGCTAGGGGAGAAGAGAGTAATTGGTGAAGAGAGTGAGTGAGGGGTGATGGGAGTGAGTGGTGAGAAGAGGTAAGGGTGAGGGGAGTGAGGGGTGATGGGAGTAAGAGGTGAGAGTAGTGAGGGTAGTGACGGGAGTGAGGAGTGAGGAGTGTGAGGGGAAAGAGGGGTCTTCAACGCTCGGTGTTCAAATATCAAAATATTTATTCAATTGTCGGTATCGATAAGCTTGAAAATACATTTTAGAATACAAATGCAATTGCAGGTAATCAGCTATACGTTCAGCAGTAGGTACTTTGTTCAGACCTGACGAAGGAAAGATATAATGTAAAGTACAATATTGGAGACACGCTTGGGACGGCTAAAAAATCACTTCCGCAAGTGCCCACGATGACAATTCAATAACTTATGTGTGATGTCATGTAATGAAGTTTAATTAGAAACCTTCGATGGAAAGAGAGCAGAGAACGGGTGAAAGGGTTGGGTGAAGTTGGGTGGTGTGATAGTGATGCTAAGGTCAGAGTTGAGTGAAAGTTGAGTGTGGATGGTGTAACTGTGCGGAAATGAGTGAAGTGTGAAGCGGTCGTGAGGGTTGAGTGAAGAAAGATTAGGACGGAGTACGGTGCGGTTGAGCGAGGTGCGTATATAACTACGATGCTGGTGGGGTGAGGGGATGTATTGTGAGTGGGATCAATATTGTGTACGTGGGGTTGAAGAGAGGCTAAATTATGATATGAGGAAGCATGAGTGGGGAGTTATTGGGGGGGGGGGGTGAGATCAAGATAGGTTGTACTTAGAACGAGGGCAAATTGGGGGTGGATCGAGGATAGGGTGGGGTTCGAGTTAATTAAAGACTACATGGGGCTGAGAGGAAGGGCAGTGTAATGATGATCAAAGTATAGAGTGTGCTTGAAGAGAAGAAGAGCTGAGTTGAAGCGAAGGATAATGAAGCCAGGGCGAAGTGAAGTTGAAAGAATACAGCTGCCACATGTAAGTCCCACACAGTAACGGCCTTGTGTGTTTACTGAACTAGACTTATGTTTGTTTGTTGGTCGTTCGCTTGGGCTAATATTTTCGAGGATTGATCGCATGTAAATGAACATTAATTCGGTACAGAAACTCGTGCCCTAAGTTCCTCTTGGAGGTATACAATCCAATGTTGTCGCCGCAGCGCCGCGCTGGTGCCGATGTTCGGGTTCGGGGAGAACGACGTGTACGACCAAGTGGCCAACCCCAAGGGCTCGTTGGTACGTCGGGTACAGGACGCACTGCAGCACATGTTCGGCCTCGCCCCTTGCATCTTCATGGGCAGGGGCGTCTTCCAGTACAGCTTCGGCATCGTCCCCTACAGGAAACCCATCTTCGTTGTGGGTAAGTTAGAATCAAAATGTTTTATGTACAAAATTTCCGGGAAATTTATATATAAGTTGAAACGAAAAGGATACATTTGCTCAAGAAACTCATGTTATGTTATCAGTCAAAAAATAATGGGAAAAGTTCTGCTCAACAGTTCATTGGGAAAAGCATGAGTCTGTCAAAATCTGAGGCATGTAAATTTAAGAAAATTAATTGATTTCGATGGCGACAAGATAAAAATTCTTTCTACACAAATAGTGCTAGCCATTAAACGCAGGAGCCTGAGCAAGCTGTTGATGTGAAGTGCGGTATGAGAAATCATAGGCATTGTCATTAGTGATCGGCAGCTGCAAAAAAAATTAGCAATAAATATGGTATGCAATATGTAATATTTTTTTACTATAGACAGCAACGAAATCATTTTCCTCAGCAATGGACTACAAAGAAACACAATCATTCTAGTAAAGAATTGCCCACAACCTAATTACAGTTATTAGCAGATATTTGTGCGTTAGTTCGCATTAATTTTTGTTTACAAAAAAACTTCTCATTTACTTTAGTCTAAAAAATATCTTCTCATTAAATTTAGCCTGAAATTATCTTCTCATTAACTTCAGCCTAAAAAAACTCTCATTTACCATTGATTATACTAAAACTCTTCTCATTGACAATCGTCTTCAAGAATTTCTCTCATAAAATATATTTAATAACCAAGACCACCACAGCAACAGTTGCTCTAACCAAAACCTCCTTAATAGCAATCAGTGCAGTAAAGGTTAGCAGCCTGCAAGACAAGCAAAGACTATAGCTGTTTAGATCTGCAACGATCTCACTCTCGTCAATAACTCTTTAGATCGGCAAGGATCTCACTCCCATCAATAACTGTTTAGATCGGCAAGGATCTCACTCTCGTCCCACTTTCTCCGAAATCCGCTTTGCAAGAGATCCGCTCTATTCCCACTGGAGGATAATCTACTGAGTGGATGTGTTGATCCAGCGCTTGATCCTGCTGGCAATCCTGGAACCATTCCAGGCCAATGACCTCGTATTCCAGACCTGCAGCGAATCTGCGCCGCTGTACTAAGGGGTCTTTAGGATGCACCGCTGTATTAACGGGCCTTTAGGATGCACCGATGTATAAACGGGCCTTTAGGATGCACCGCTGTATTAACGGGCCTTTAGGATGCACCGATGTATAAACGGGCCTTTAGGATGCACCGCTGCATTAACGGGCCTTTAGGATGCACCGCTGTATTAACGGGCCTTTAGGATGCACCGATGTATAAACGGGCCTTTAGGATGCACCGCTGCATTAACGGGCCTTTAGGATGCACCGATGTATAAACGGGCCTTTATGATGCACCGCTGCATTAACGGGCCTTTAGGATGCACCGATGTATAAACGGACCTTTAGGATGCACCGCTGTATTAACGGGCCTTCAGAATGTACCGATGTATAAACGGGCCTTTAGGATGCACCGCTGTATTAACGGGCCTTCGGAAAGTACCGATGTATAAACGGGCCTTCAGGAGGCACCGTTGTATGAACGGGTCTTTAGGAGGCACCGCTGTATTAACGGGCCTTTAGGAGGCACCGTTGTATGAACGGGCCTTTAGGACGCACCGCTGTATAAACGGGTCATTAGGAGGCACCGTTGTATTAACGGGCCTTCAGAATGCACCGCTGTTTGAACGGGCCTTTAGGATACACCTCAGTACTAAAGGGCCTTCATGATGCACCGCTGTATTAACGGGCCTTTAGGATGCACCGCTGTATTAACGGGCCTTTAGGATGCACCGATGTATAAACGGGCCTTTAGGATGCACCGCTGTATTAGCGGGCCTTCAGAATGCACCGTTGTATGTACGGGTCTTTAGGATATACCTCTCTATTAACGGACCTTTGAGGCAGACCGCGCACTGCGCATTCAGCATGAACAGCAGTAGCGTGCGCAGTGAAACGCATCATGGAGAGCATTGCATAACAGTGAGCGCCCAGAATGATGAGCATCAGTTAATATGAAGGGACGGCAGTCGTCTAGCTCAGTGCTAACCGATCGCGGTGCTCTTCATGCTACGTGCTCATTGCATGTGTTGCTTTTTATGCTACGTGCTCATTGCATGCGGTGCTTTTTATGCTACGTGCTCATTGCATGCGGTGCTCTTCATGCTACGTGCTCATTGCATGTGATGCGGTGCTCTTCATGCTACGTGCTCATTGCATGCGGTGCTCTTCATGCTACGTGCTCATTGCGGTGCTCTTCATGCTACGTGCTCATTGCGGTGCTCTTCACGTTATGCGCTCATTCCCAAATTTTCTGGCAATTCCGGCTCCAGAGGAGCACTTTGTTCTTACTGTTATGTCGCCATGGATGCTTTGCCGCTTGATCGCTGCTCGAGCTTATGTTATTTAAAAATAATCCTGTATATATGTCCATATCATTTTTTTCTCATTGGGTTATCATGACAATAACTTTATTGTTATTGTCTGAGGGGAATACTTTCATTGAACATCTCTGTACTACATGTATGAGTTTCATTTGGCGGCTGAATACATGCATTAAATGAAAAACTTTCTCACAAGAACAAAAGTTTTTCACCTATTTAGTTTATATTTCACCATCCACCATACTGCAGGCAGAAGGTGATATTACATTCCATGGTTGAACTAGTATAAGATTAACCCATCAGTAGCTCAATTTTGCGGATTTAGTTTGTTGTTCGCCTGTGACGTCACTGATCTCAGTGACGTCACGGGCATTAACCAATCACCAAAATGCGATCAAACCAGTCAACCAATCCGTCATGGGAATGACGACACTCCACCACTCCCCGCACAATGTGGTCCATCACTCCACCACTCCCCGCACAATGTGGTCCTTCACTCCACCACTCCCCGCACAATGTGGTCCTTCACTTCACCACGCCCCGCACAATGTGGTCCACCACTCCACCACGCCCCGCACAATGTGGTCCACCACTCCACCACTCCCCGCACAATGTGGTCCACCACTCCCCCAGCCGGCATCCCACAGCGCGTATGCGAGCCACGCGCGGAAAGTCGTCTTTCATTTTCAGTTTTTTGATTCACTTGAAAAAGGTTGCATCGCGATGGAATTTATTCCGCTTTTTCTTCTTAAAATAATGTATCTTCTTTTGTTCGAGTCTGGTAACAAATTTATTGCAGAACAGCATTGAGAAATGTCGGCTACCGCGTTAGTGAACAAATAACAGATGAGGTGAATGAAATTCATTTTTCAAGTGAGTGAAGAAAATAATACCTTAGGTGAGTGAAAAAATATCGGAAGAGTAAGCTAGTACAGCTCCATAACTCAGTACATTTGAGTGTACTCAATTAATTTGTACTCGATACCTTGAAGCTCACGTCACATTTGTGTTGACGGACGTATAGGAATGGTGTAAATGTACTTTACAAGTATGTCGAAAAATATATATTGCTTGAATGTCGACAAAAATTATATATATGATGTGCAATTAATGATGCTGATGTGCATATAATGCCGACAGAGATGTGCATTCACAAAATACATTTCCTTCTACAAAAGGAAAATTTTTACCCTAGTCTAAGCAAAAATACTCCATAATATGATTCAAAAATACAGACTAAAATTGAAAACTTGCTGTTTAATTTTTACTAACTGTGAATATCAGAAAGTTTATTCTCATTCTTAAAAGAAAATAAGAATAAATCTTCCGAGAAAATTCTGCTTACCTCAGTCGCGTGCGTTCGCCTTTCTGTTTTTATGTATTGTTTTTTCATGTTATCGTGTTTTTTTCATTTTCAAACGTTCGTTCTTTATCACATTCTTTATAATTTTGCTTCGGAATAAAACTGGAAACTTCAATAATGTTGTGGTCGTACATTGTAAATTGGATGAAATCCATATTTCCTTTTGTCTTAGTTACGATACGATACGACGTTCTGCTCTCCGCATCTTCATCCGGTTAAAAGTCCAAATCTTTCGTTCAGAAGATTGAGTAAATGTAAATGAATTCAATATGAGAAGTATTATTCACTGCAATTTGAGTCAAGTAATTACGGAGCTCCCAATTTCAGACTCTGTAATATGTTGACTTAAATCTTTATAGTAGGAAAGCCTGGGTAAAGCCTTCATCATTATATTTAAAGTGGAAGTTTAGTATCCTTTAATTAGGTGCGTCCTGCGAGGCTGACCTGGCTCTCAAGAGGCGTTCAATTATTTAACAATCTTATCTTGCATGGATTATCTTATTTAACAATCTTATCTTGCATGGATTATCTTATTTAACAATCTTATCTTGCATGGATTATCTTATTTAACAATCTTATCTTACATGGATTATCTTATTTAATAATCTTATCTTGCGCCGACAACTCTTCATATATACATATAAATTATAGTACATATAAATTACAGTAAAATATTTCAAATGAAGTTAGATGAATAACGGGAAAATTAATTAAATAAATTAAAATAATAAAGTGTGCTTTCTTGTATTAATGAATCACAAATATTAAAAAAAAGTAAACCGTTATATTCACTTCTTATAATATATTTTAATTTTATTTATACTCTTCAGGAGGAATCCGCTTAAAATCTGTTCGCTAGAATCCAGCTTCATTTAATACATAACATACATAATACACAACATATTCATTTAATACATAACTATTGACATCAGGGCCTCAGACGGGGTAAACAAGCCCTGACCACTCACCTCTAATTGGACTCTCTATGTCATCGACCTCAGGCTTGTTGGAAACAGAAAAAAAGTTATATATGAATATGAAAAACATGGGAAACAATTTAGAAGATCATAGGCCGCATAATCGGTGGGCAATGGCTGGCAGTTCAGTGGCAGTTCATAAGCTGGTGACAACATCCATCTGGTGGCTCACAACATCCACCTGATGGCTTACAACATCCACCTGATGGCTTACAACATCCACCTGGTGGCTTACAACATCCAACACCTGATGGCGTACAACATTCACCTGATGGCGTACAACATTCACCTGATGCTTACAGCAGCTTGCAACATCCCCCTTACGAATGACAACATTCTCAAGTTGCTGCAGTTCAAGTCCTAATTAAGTAAGAACCTCAGCGCACAGCAACAACTTTGTTTTGCTTCGCGTCCGCGTCTTGAGTTCTGAGCGTCAAGTTGTCGGCGGCTCTCTGCGCACCGCTTGCGTGGCGGAAAAGTTCCATCTTTTCCTCTCCGTAAGTTGACGTGTCCTTCCCACGCTGGAAATGAGCGAACGATTCATCATTAGTAATTAATATGAGATCAGTCTCGGCTCCAATAAAATGATCTATCGTCCCAACATGAAAAAGTACAGATTTCTTGGCTTAACGCCAATATATCAAATAAAAGGCAGATTATTTTTACACTAATTAACAGAATTTTAAGCATCAATAAAATTTATCTCCCTTTTCAACACCAATATAACAAATAGCATGTCTCTACACAATTTCAAATAAATCTTGCCTCAACCCCATTCACTTGATCTCTCAACACCAATAAAAGAGATCTATTGTCTGAACACTAATTATACATCTCTTAGATCTCAATAGATTCCCAACAAGAAAGCCATCATGTTGCCACACCAATAATTCTATCCCCTTCTCCCAACAGAAATATAACAGATCTCCTCCTATCGCCAGTGTCAGATCTGATGATTTTCTTCCGCGTCTCTTGCGTTCGATCAAATTCTTTAGCAATCAGTCCTGCGTCAAAATCCGCCCAGCCTGCGGTGCTGGGAAGGATTCCCTGTCGTCTTGGAATGACTGGAATTAGTGGGAATGGGACTCGGGAATGAGCGTGTCGATCGCAGTTGAAATTTGACAGTCGTGGGGTAGTGCCTGCAGCGATCGCGGGCTTCTGATCGTAAATTATCGGTGGAATGAAAGGGATTGTGAGTGTTATCATTACGTGAAAAGGGTTAGGAGAGGTGAAAAAGAAGTGAGTGGAAGAGGAAAGAAGAGTGGAAATGTTTTGAGGAGGGAAATTGCAGGGAACAGTGAATTGTTTCCTAGGAAGGAAATGGCTAGAAAAAGTGAATAGGTTTGTCGAAGTGAAATGACTAGGAAGAGTGAAAAAGTTTGCAGGAATGAAAAGGTTTGCTGTAGAGAAATGACTAGGAAGAGAGGAAAGACGTGTAAGAAATAAAGCGCAAAGAAGAGAGAAAAAAGCGGTGGTGAGAAGAGGCTAGTGTGAGTGATAAGGATTGGATAATTTTTATGACTGGGAAGAAAACATGTTTAATATAATTTTTATGACAGGGCCAGGAATATTAAACACGCATGGAGGAGTGATGAGGCTTCGATGAGTGTAAAAGTAAAAAAATGTAAAAATTTAAAGGGTTGTATGGCATAAAAAGTAAAGAGGGTTTGAAGAAGTGAAAGGTATAGGAAGGAGGAAGGGTTCGACGCAAGTTTCGAGGTTAATTGAGGAAGTGTGGTTATGGAGGGTTGGGAACAGGGTGTAAATTATATTTGACGATTGTGAAGGAAAGAAATTCGATTGGATATTGTCATATATGTGCGAAATTAGGTAGATATTGAAAAAGAAAAGTACTCGCACCCACACATATTATCCAAGTTTTCCAAGTAACAGAGCCGGTTGAATAAACTCTACGGACTTGACAGCGCAGATTTAATTTACTCTGAACATTGAACCATTCATTCAGAGATGTAATTATTACCATGTAACTATTCTGCTGAATTTTCAGTGTCACGAAGTTTGGATCATGTCTTTACTAAGAAATTGATTGAAACACATAAGATTTAACATGCGTATTTTATTGCACTAAATTTCCAATGCAATCGGAATCTATTATCAGGATATCATTTTTTATATGATACGGAGCGCGCTAAAAAATGAAGCAATAAATTTAATTATTTTCATTGAAGGTTTTAATTTTTGTACTGATTTTTTTTCTTTTCATTGCAGTTGGTTTATATGATACGGAGTGCGCTAAAAAATGTAGCAAGAAATTTAATTATTTTCATTGAAGGTTTTAATTTATTACACTGAGTTTTTTTTCTTTTCATTGCAGTTGGTTCTCCTATTCACGTAGAGCCTGTGAAGAAGCCCACGGACGAGCAGATCCTTGCTCTGCACGAGCGCTACAAGCAGGCGATCGTAGAACTCTACAACGAGCACAAAGAAACATACGCTAAGGATCCCACTGTACCAATACAGATCGTCTGATCTTTTGATGTACATGAACGATCCTTCAGCATGTGCAGATTGTCTTGATCTTTGTCATGGATCAGTGAGGGTCTTATGGCCAGACATGACCGTCTGATCCCAATGTATACTGACGAGATCAATCTCGATCATTTAACCTCAGAAGATCGGATCATCGGGTCGTATAGAGGGAAAGATCAGCTGATCTGCACACAGCTTCAGCCATACAGATAACTATGATAATTTGACTGCTAAATATTCTTATTCCACTATTCATCATTAAATTTTATCATTTAAACAATTCAAATAAATGGAATCGCTTGTCTAATTAAACACAAGTCTCGATATTGCCAGATTCCGCGATTTATTTATTAGTCTTATATCTGCAACTGTCACAGCAATTTATTAAAATCAATGTATCTGTTTCAATATATAGAATATTCTGCAGTTATTCAAACAATGGTAGACGAAGCACAAACAAATGTAGACATTTTTTGACGTAGTATTTGGAGTGCAGAAAATTTTTTGAAGTGAATACATCAACTTTTAGACTTCAGGACATAACATATGGAAGCGATCAATACTTCTGAAAAGTTTTACGCTAAAAATTTTTGTTCGAGTTGTTCTTGCGGCTTGTCTTTTATACCATTTCTATGTGTGGCATTTGTTGCGTACAGCTCGTACAATTTATATGTTCGGCTTCTGCGAGGGATAACTGCAAGATTTTGAATTGGTATTCCCCACTTTATGATCTAAAGAAAGCGCTCAATGTCGGGATATTTCAATCCAAGTTCAGCTATATAGACGAGGAAAATAAAATGTTTTCGAGTATCACACGATTCAAAAATTAGGGGAATGGCTTCCATATATTCCCAATTACGTAACCAAGGACTCAAACTAAAATCAACTTCAATTGTTTAATTTTATTCAATTGATTAATTTTATGGCCTTGCTTCACATGACTCAGCTCACAGAAATGCAAAGCGACATCAAGAATAAATTCGTTGAGGTTTTGTGTAATATCGTGTAAAAATCAAGGTTTGTTTTCAGTATAATGTAATGCTGTGAACAAACCTTAATTCAATGTCTAGTGTGTTGGATAAATCATTTGAATATTTCGTGGACGTAAAAAAACGAGTTTGATAAACTTGAAATATTAGTCTTGATCTAAGGCATTTTATTCAACTGCCCTTGTGCTTGTAGGCAGTATTTTATAATGTAAAATATCCTGTTTAAAAATACCATGAATGATGAATGACTGAATTAACTGCATTCAATTTTTTTCGATAATTGCCTAATGGAATTTTTTATAAATATTTAGATTTTATTTATTAATTAATGTTGTTTTTCAAATTGTTTTTTCATATGATGTTAGTAACTGTATCAACTTTGTTTCTTTTTTATACCGGACATTGATTACTAAAAATGTTAAATGAAAGCCTGAACAGATTATCGCTTGAAAATTTTAACTTTTATCATATTTGAAGATATAGCGGCTCTTTTACGCAACGAAGGACAGAAAATAAGAGCGGTTGTCCTACATAACGAAGGACAGAAAATAAGAGCGGTTGTCCTACATAACGGAGGACAGAAAATAATAGCGGCTGTCCTACATAACGCAGGACAAAAAATAAGAGCGGCTGTCATACATAACGGAGGACAGAAAATAAGAGCGGTTGTCCTACATAACGAAGGACAGAAAATAATAACGGTTGTCCTACATAACGGAGGACAGAAAATAATAGCGGCTGTCATACATAACGGAGGACAGAAAATAAGAGCGGTTGTCCTACATAACGGAGGACAGAAAATAATAGCTGTTGTCCTTCATAACGGAGGACAGAAAATAATAACGGTTGTCCTACATAACAGAAGACAGAAAATTTATGCTAAAGAGGGACATTCTTCTTTGCATTTATAGCGGGGACGAACTAGCGAGTTTTTTCATCTCAATAATGGCGATGAAAATATAATGACTTTTTGGCCACGGAAACTCATTAACCTTAAGCATGCAAACACTGAACTATTGGACACTTGCACTGGTAACAGACTGACTGGTGACACTGTTCTTTAGGCGTGTTAATTGAAACCAATTAATTAGATAATTAAATAAACGACTGTTCGATCGACTTTGATGCGATGAGAGTTACTGAGAATATGGCTAGTTAAATAAATTATTGTGATGTGCAACTTGTTGCATTAAAAAAAGTTTGCTTAAATAAAATATTTTGTTTGTGTTGTGCAATTTTTGCTTCACATTTTGAGTTTACAGCGTCCAGCGTTATAAAGTCTGGCGCTACAACCACAGCACCGAGTGCAGCGTTATAACGTCTGACGCTACAACCACCGCACCGTGTGCAGCGTTATAACGTCTGACGCTACAACCACCGCACCGCGTGCAGCGTTATAACGTCTGGCGCTACAACCATCGCACCGTGTGCAGCGTTATAACGTCTGGCGCTACAACCACCGCACCGCGTGCAGCGTTATAACGTCTGGCGCTACAACCACCGCACCGCGCGCAGCGTTATACCGTCTGGCGCTGCAACCACCGCACCGAGTGCAGCGTTATAACGTCTGGCGCTACAACCACCGCACCGCGTGCAGCGTTATAACGTCTGGTGCTACAACCACCGCACCGTGTGCAGCGCTATAACGTCTGGCGTTACAACCATCGCACCGCGCAGCGTTATAACGTCTGGTGCTACAACCACCGCACCGCGCGCAGCGTTATAATGTCCAGCGTGCATATAAACGTCGGTTTTACTCAGTCGACATTCACGTAAGATCAATCGTTTTCAATCGATGTCCTGAGTACAGATCGTACCGGGCTTTAGAAGACCCAGATTCTGCGGATCGCATTGCTAGGATTTGAAAGCTTTGCCCGGTGACACATCATCCATCATCCGCGCAGCGTCATGAAAATTGAGACTTTGATTTCAGTGACTATCAATTAGCTTATCTCTAACTATCTATATAGATATATAACTAACTATATATATATAGATAAATAACTAACTATCTATGTGCGGAATATAAAAGAGATTTCCAGGAACGATAACCGCTGACGTAGATTCTCCTCAAAATATGAAAAATTCGTGCTAGCATGGAAATAAAATAAATTTAATAAATGCTCGTGAATAAATAATTTATTCGCCGCAAATTGAGTTACTTGATAAAATTGCATTTGCATGTAAAATGAGATTAATTATAGAGGGAAGATTTTTAAACATTGTGTACGGGAAAAATATATAGTATCTGATCGGCTTTATAATATTCTATATATTCTATATTATAAATATATATAAATGTAGCTGAACCATTAAAAATAAACCATGTTCCTGGAAGGAAATAAGTCAAAAAGAGAGGAAAATCTAACGTCTGGTTCTTTTCAACAATTTTTGAGCTGCAGCCATCCTCAGTAGCGGAACTGCGGATTTGAAAATGTAGAGCATATTTCTTAGTAACATTATGCCATCAGCAAAGGACAATCACAATGTATATTCAAAACTACAAACTAAAATAAAGCCAATCAAGCGGAGCCAATCAGGATAGGTAAATTCTCAATTGAAAAATATTCTAAGACGAAAAAGATCGATGGTGATTTGGAAGCGACGGCGAAAAATCCTAAATTGGGTTTCGATTTTCCAATCCTCGGCGCATCGAAGGTACGAAATAAAGTTAATGAACTGATTAAATATCTCAACCTAGAGCCGTATTGGGGAATAACTTGGATTGAACTCAGAGCCGCATTATCGGCGGCCAGTACTGTGGTGTTAATCAATAGTGGAATAACTTAAACTGCAGCAGAAAACCTTGACTTCAAACAAAGTTGAAAATATGGTAATTTTATACCAGAACAGTGGCTGTAATGATTACATGTATTTGATTTTAGTTCCTTCTAAATTAGATAATTTACCAATAACCACATCAATATTAATTTTGATATCCACTAAACTCAAGAAATTTGTTAATTTTACACTCTCACAGTCGCAGTAATCATTCCTGGAATGTGGGTTTAATCGTTTCTAAGCTAGGTAATTAGCAGATAGCTGTCACAAATGCACCTGGATCTGCTCTAAAATTAAATATTAGTGAATTATACAAATTTGCAGTGGCTGTAATAATTTCAGGCATGCGGTTTTAGTCGTCTTTGTGCCAGGGATGCATTAAATAAAGATAGAACAAATTGCCTTCTTCATCCATGCACTGTTCATCTAGGTCGTTCTTTAGTGAAATAATCATGATATTTCCTTGTGTATCTTTATTTGTGAGTGAATCAGGAAATATTATTAACTATTACTGAGAAAATTTGTGAAATATTACTGAAATATTCTTTGAGAATAAGTTCCGGTCTATTAGTTAATGAGATGAAGACTTGAATCGAGACGATTACTGAGGCCGTTACTAGCTGGACAACTATTAATTAATTCTATTGAAACGAATAAATGAACAAAATTAAATATCTAGCAAAAATTGCCTTGAATTTGAACATCGTATTCCTAATCAGAAACGTCAAAATCTTGCTACTGAAAAGCTTCTAAAATATTTACACACCAAATCTACACGCATGCAAAAGTAACAGGGGCCATATTTTCAAAATTCAGTAAGTGAACGTAAGTACTTATACGCTCTGTTTTCTTGTTTATGATTGGTGGATTTTGCTCGAAAAGCCGTCAATGATTGGCTGATGAATTTACGATCTCTTATCTTATTTTGAAAGTATGGCCCCAGATAACTTAAGATTTAATTCCACTGTTCACCCTTCCTCTTTTTACACGAGATGAACCTTACATATCGACGGCAAACGCAAGACTAAACAAGCTTTCGCTGATTTGGCTAAGGTCACGTTCAACACGTTCTAATACAAAATGAAAAAATGCATAACCTGTTCAACCCCTAACATTTAAATTATGTAATTAACAAATAACTGCCGGAAACGAAACCTTTTCACCACCTAACTCGAGAAATATTTAAATTTTACACCGGCGCATATGTGAAACAATTTCGGGCTTATGAAATCGGTCGTTTCTGGTATAGGCAATTATGGTGCTTGCCTCTTATGAAAATCCTCGTCAATATTTGTTCCAAATAACTCCAATTATATAGTTGTCCTCTATATAGTTGTTTACATATAACTGCTACTATATACTATTTCCTCTTTATAGTTGTATACTTACTACTATATACTATGTCCTCTATATAGTTGTATACATATTACTACTGCTATATACTATGTCCTCTATATATAGTTGTATACATATTACTACTATATACTATGTCCTCAATATAGTTGTATACATATTACTACTATATACTATGTCCTCTATAGAGTTGTGTGCATATTACTACTACTATATACTATGTCCTCTATAGAGTTGTATACATATTACTACTATATACTATGTCCTCTATATATAGTTGTATACATATTACTACTGCTATATACTATGTCCTCTATATAGTTGTATACATATTACTACTATATACTATGTCCTCTATATAGTTTTATGCATATTACTACATCCTCTAACTTGCCCGAGTCTTAAGGACATATTACAACGACATGAAATAAAATAAACCACCACATGAAACATCCTTCATAATAAAGTCCATTACGTGATTTCTGACCTTCCTTCTAATTTTTTAGGCCTTAACTTTGTCGTAATGATCATATCATGGATTGAGAAATGAACTTCACAAAGGTTCATTGTAACTATTTTAAGTTGCTCTACATAAAATTTTAAATTAATTTTGTTTTCAGCCTAGGTGTTAATCTAATTTGCATTTTGTATTTTGTGTAAGAGCAAAATAGAAAAAAATAGTCCGTTAGGACCTCACCCACAAGCGCACAGGCAAGAACATATATCAGCGAAAGAACTTCAACGATGTGCGTATTTTGTTTCATGTAGATTGGTTTAGAATTAGCCTCGCATAATGATCAAATATCATGCAATATAATGAAATCATGAAAACGAAGCGTTAGAGCGAACACAACAACAGTGTGCGTTTCAAATTTCATGCAGAAAGGTGTCAGCCACTGTTCAAAAGTAAAATTACGAGTGTTATGTGGCTTCAGTTTGATGAAGATCTAAGTGCATTTGTGAGAATTTTCGTTCAATTATCTAATTCATAAACAACTGAACTCCTATACCCGAAATTCTTACAGCCACGGCGCAGGTGTAAAATTAACGCATTTATTGGGTTTGGCGGAGATCTAGGCCCATTTTTGCGGCAGCTATCGGCTAGTTACCTGA